AGTGTTGAGAGCTGTATCCATAAATTCATTTTGTGCTCAAAGTGCACCAGATTGAGGCATTTCACTTCAACATTTAAAAAAAAATCATACATTTTATTTTAGTAAACACTGAAAACGGGTGTCACAGACCCAAACAGCACACAAAGGTTAAAGGTAGCATAATAATGTTAAAATGTGCTAAATATATACACTGTAAAAAAACAAAAAAGAGGAGTAAAAGTAGCTCACGACTTGTTTTATTTTTTTTGAAAGTAGCTCTCATCCTAAAAAAGGTTGGAGACCCCTGTTATAGAACGATACATTTGACAATTTTAAGCTTGGCCTACCATTTTATTGGAGCGATGAGGAACAGGTGGGGCTTGAAAAGGCCCACCTGTTCAAAGTGGGGAATGACAGAAAAAGTTTGAGAACCACTGCTGTCGTGGATATATTTCTCTATATTTTTTTGAAAATCTAGTGTATTCATCATTTTCCTACACATTTATTCACTGGTATCTCTAACCTGCAAGTTGCTCTTTAAGTACAATTTTGAGCTTCACTTGAGTATCTTCATGTTATGCTACTTTATACTTTTACTATATTGAATTTACGAAGGCATTTTTTTATTCAACTGCATTTTTTGTAACTAACTGAGTTACTTTGCCTGTATGGATTTTTAATATAGAATATATATCAACCAATAAATCATTATTTATCATTATAAAGCTACCCAGACATGTATCATAATTTAATAATCATCCTCTTTACCAGAGAAACATCATTGACATCACGGCATTAATAGTTATAATCTGATAGGGGCCATACTGGAAAATAAGTACTTTTACCTTTTTACTTGAAGTATATTCTAATCCCAATACTTTTGTACTTTTACTTGAGCACAATTTTGAATGCAGGACTTTTACATCTGAGTACAATCTTACACCACTGCTGACAAAAACTAGAAAAGAGACTACCATTGAAAACTAGCCATCAAGCTAACTCGCTAATTTGTTTGGATGAATGTTCATAATAAACCACAGGTTGTTTGTCTTTTTTCATGTGTTTTCGTAACTGAGTTAAGACAGCAGCATGTTGCATTTAGACTACTTTCAACTTTAATATCGAGTGTTTCTTGTGAGAATAAACTAATAATAACCTTAAGTAACGTACCTGCTCATCAATAGCGTACCCCTGTCCCTCTGCTAGCTGGTTGGGGCGGTACGTGTCTCCATCACTGACGTCATAGCCTACTATCATTACTGCTGCCGGGAAAACGCTGAGGTTTCCCACGTGGTCTGAGTGTCCATGCGTCCCCACGACCACGTCAATGTCCCCCGGTTCCAGACCCTTCTCCTTCAGTGTGGTCAGGAGAAAGTCCCGGTCCCATGGACCCCCGGTGTCCACTAGAACAGTCTTGGGTCCCGTTATGAGGGTGATAGTCCCGTCGGCCCTGAACGTCCCATCAGGCTGAGGGAGACAGTAGCCGACTTTAAGGACGGACACGGAGTACGGCTGACCAGAGAAATGCGTCTGAGACTCGGACAGGGGGACAGTTTGGAACATGGTGTTTGAAACTGACCGCTGACTACTTTAATATGTAAAAGTTGTGATTGCCTGTTACCCGGCCCCTCGCCATGGTGTGTTCATGACAGGGAGAAGCTTGTCAGTGCAAGCATCATCACAGCTGCATACCGCCACCTGCTAGACCGGAGTGGGTATAACATGATATTGAGGGAATGATTTTACGTGGCCTTTTTACACTGATCAACAGAAATGTGATCTATTTAATTGTTATTATCCCTTTATCATCAATTTTGACGTTTAGACAATATTTAAAACGTTTTAGCATCATTCTGAAATGAGGGAAGTTCATATTTGATGACAGATGGGAACATGGGTAAAATATAGAACACAAAACATTTATAATGACCAGGTGGTAAGATCTGTCAATTAATGTAAGCATGTGTATTAATGTTAATGAATTAATTATTATTAATTAATTCTGTGTGCTGATGTAGAAAACTGCATGGTCTTATTTTTATCTTGGTTTTATGGAAATTATAGATAGACATGCACCCCTGCATACATTTAGAGTGAAGGGACGAGACAATCCTTGGTTTTCTGCTGAACTGTCTAGTCTCCTTCATGAGAGAAACAAGGCCTGGGCAAAGGCTAGGAAATCAGGCTCAGAGGTAGATTGGCTACGCTTTAGGCAGCTAAGAAATATAATCACAAATAAGAAGTGCTAAGTCTAAGTATTATCTGTTAGTTACCACAAAGAACCTGAATAATCCTGGAAAATGTTGGAAAACCATAAAATCGATATCCACCGGTGATATCCGTCATGAGCTACCTCCGTGCATTACCACAGCATCTGGCACTATATCGGACAGGGCCACTATGTTAAATTGTTTTAATGAGCATTTTGTGTCCTGTGGCTCTCTGTTTGATTCTGTCACTAACTCTGCTTCTGTGAACACCACAGTCTGTGACTCTGAAAAACGTGTTATGGGAAACCCTTTTAGTTTTACTCCTTTTACTGTTGATGTTGTTCGTGAAGCTTTAACCAAGTTAGATCCTAAGAAACCGGCTGGCCCGGACAACGTACACTCTTAAAACTACTGGGTTAAAAAATAACCCAATCATAACCCAGCTACTGGGTCACTATAGGACAGAACACACGCTGGGTTGAATCCTTTTAACCCATGTGCTTGGGTTGTTTATTTGACCCAAGCTAGTGATTGAAATTAACTATACCACTGGGTTAAATATAAACCATACATTGGGTTGTTCATTTGACCCAAGCTAGTGATTGAAATTAACTATACCACTGGGTTAAATATAAACCATACATTGGGTTGTGTATTTGACCCAAGCTAGTGATTGAAATTAACTATACCACTGGGTTAAATATAAACCATACATTGGGTTGTTTATTTGACCCAAGCTAGTGATT